CCCACCGACTCCGAAGCCCTACAGAGCCTCGATTTTTCCTCTTTTCTCTGTGCCACCCTCTTCAGCTTGCTTTTGGAGTCCTGTATCCTTGGTGGGGAGCAGAAGGAGAGGAGGGGGTCCCCCTCTGTCCCTCTCCTTCCTTCCTGCCACTGTCTCCTCCTGACCTTCACTTTCTTCCTCTTGGTTTCTCTGCTCCCCACCCCATCTCGGTCTTTCCTGCTGTCTCCTGCCTCAGTTTCTCTCCCTGCTCATGTGGCTGACCCCTCTCCCACCCCGACCTGCAGGCGGCTGGCCAGGTGGGCGGGCGCCAGCCGTAGCTGTAAATAGAGCGCTGCGCTTTTGTGCCGGGTTGTGCGTGTGCTGTATTTCTGTGTTTTGATAGAAGTCACACAAAAAAGGATAAAAGAAACCCTCCCCCCTTCTTCAAATGACTGCCCCTTCCATTCCCCTGGACCCAGGGACATGCAGTCTGACACACCCACCCACTCTTTCAGTGTCTCTGGGTCCATAAAGGATACCATCCTGGTTCCCTCCCCCAGCGGTGAAATGGCATAACCGCCCCGCAGCTCAACTGAGGTCAGACCACCTAGGCTTCCGCCTGGTGAGCCCCAGCAGGGCTGAGACCCCCAGGGCGGCAGCCTGTCTGCTGCTGAGTGATTCTGGATTCAGGATTGCCCCACACAGGTGACACGGGGCCCTGGCTTCCCAGCTGTGGATGTCTAGTGTCCCCTGCTGCTACATCTTAGCCAGAACTTGAAGTCCTTGGCCCCCAGTCTGTGATGAAGGAAAGGAGGAAGAGGCGGAGGCTCTGTGGCCCCCTTGTGTGGAGCCATGGAGGAGGGTCACGGGGGCCAGGTTGGTCCTGTGCCTGCTGCAGTGGCCCTGGGCCTGGTAGCCCCCAGGGCCCTGACTCTTCCAGAGGCTGCCACTGACTTATCACCAGAGGAGGAGGAAAAGGGTTTGGCCGAGTCAGTCTGTCTCCCTCCAGCCTCCACCCACTGAGGATAGAAAAGAGAAAGTATCGGACGCAGAGCAGGGAGCATCCACTTCTCTGCCTGCCCAACCACTGGCAAGGTCCCTCTGCCTAGGGCTCAGGGCTCTGTGCCCACCCAGGCGCAGCCACTGCCTTCCCCTCGGCCCCCGGCTCTTTCCCATAGAGCTCCCCACCCACCTCTGGTCAGAGCTGAAGCCATACGTGATTGGGTGTTTTGCCCTCTTGGCCCCAGGAGTAAAACACTTCTCCTTTTCTCACTTCCTTTCTGCCTTGTGAGGTGGCAGGGCAGCTCCCTGGCTGAGGCCTTTCGTACCCTGCCTCCAGGGCCAAGGGCCATTTCTAGACAAGGTGTCTTCTGCCGTGGCCCCGTCCCCAGCCTTCCTGATCTGAGGGCCTGGTCTCCCATTGGCAGCTGTGATACAAAGGGAATTTGTCCCCACTTCTCCCAGTCTGGTGCTGCCCTCGGTCCACCATCAGCAGGTCAAGCGCTTCCTCCGGGGCTGGCTGCAGGCTCCTGGCTCCCCCAGTCCTTCGCAGGGGCCAGGGCCTGGGCCTCCGTGTTCGGGGGCCACCTGCCCTCCATCCCTCCCGCCAGACACTTTCCCGCCCTGTGTCAACCTGGGCCCTGTGCCCATGAGCCCCCCATCCCTGACCCAAGACTCTCCAACTGACTCTCAATGTTTCCTGCCCAGAGGAGAAAGGGGTCAGACCGAAAAGGGCCCAGTGCCCTCCCCCTTCTCCTCTCCCTCCACCTCTGCCACCAGACTAGCTTTCCAAGGTGAACTCCACAGGCCAGCCTACTTCCCTCCATCCATGGCCACACCCCCAGCCATTTTGTACCATTATATAAATATATATATATAAATATAAATATATAAATACAATATGTGAAGACAACATCTTGGTTTTTATTTTGAAACAATTTTTAGGCTTGTTCCGGGGGTCTCTGTGCTGCCTGTACTGTATTGACCTGTTTTATAGGTGCCTTTTTATTAAAAAGAGAAAATTAAAAATCCGGCTTCTTGCTTTCTTGCTTCCATGTCTGGTGCCTGCACTGCCCAGCTTACTACTAGATGCTGGGAGGAAAAGGGGGCCCCAGGGCCTCCCCAGTGTTCCATGGTGAAAACGCAGACCCCTGGGTCATAGCTCTGATCTCCCCTGGGGGGCCTCCTAGGGAGACTGGTTTGGCTGACTGGTTTGAGTGGGATTGGGTGGCTGATGTGTGCCCTCAGCAAGTGCAGGGGTCGCTGATGTCCCACCCTGGCCAGACCAGAGGCTGGGGAGGAGGGAGGGAGAGCCCTCCCCAGGCAGGGGGCAGAGGCAGGCGGGCGAGGAGCCGCTTCCTCTGGTTTCATCAGAGTAGTACCCTCTCAGCTTCCTGGAGCCTGGGGACTTCCCTGCCCAGGCGTGCCAGTCACACTACCTAGGCCAAGGGGATGCCGCGTGGTGCGTGCTGAGGCTCAGTGAGATGGCCTGGCCTGCGGGTGGGAGCTGAATGACATGACCCCCAGAAGCCTCTTTAGTCTGTCTCTCTCCTCAGGAGGTCCCCACCTCTACTCTGACTCTTGGCACCCTCTGCTGTGGTCGGATCCTCTCTGTTCCCCTGGCTGTGTAGTTTGTGGGGGAGAGGGGCAGGGAGGAATGAGTCTGCCTCCTTCCCGATCAGTGCCCAGACCCACAGGGCCTCAGACCTTGCCGCCCCAGGCCTGTGCTGGGGGCTCTCCTCCCTGGGCAGAGAAGACAGCTGGCTTTGGTTTATACTTGTTCCTCCTTGGAGCTGGGAAGGGAGAATCTCTTTTTCCCTCGGTCGGGCTCCTCTCTGCTGGCCTTAGTTCTTCCCTGGGACACTGGGTGGTCTCTGAGGGTGCCTGGAGTCTGCCTTCAGTCTGCAGACCTCCCAGGGCCCAGTGACATGAGGCTGGCCCAGCGCCATTATGGTCAGAGCCCAGGGCAGCTACCTGGGCTGGGACAGTCTGAGCTTCCTGCTTGGTCAACATGCCTCTGGGCTGGTGGCCTGGCAGAATGTCTGTGCTTATTAGGCACCGGGACTCGTTAAGGCCACACTCTGTTGCCAGCTGGCCTTCCCTCAGCCTTAACCTCCATCCATCCCTGGTGCTCAGCTTCTAGCTTCTTTTAGCAGGAGAGGTGAGTGGATGTGGAGGTCGGTGGCCCATAAGATGATGGAGTATGTTCTGGGAGAGGTTGACTTTCCTTAAGGGGAGGGGCAGAAGTAAAAGTTGTTTCTTGATCTTTGGCTGGTTAGGATGAGAGAAGGCGAGTGTGGTCCTCTCAGCCCCAATGCAGCCGGGCACAGGTAGCCTTTGCTTTGCCTTTGGGCTGCTTTCCCCTCCCTGGACCCCATCCTAGGCACGGGGCTGGGAGAAGAGCTGGCAAGGATGTCCTGGAAAGAGGGCTTGGTTCCTCCAGCTGCTCATACAAGGACACTGGCCAAGGTAAACTGTTAGGATCTCAGCTCCTGTTGGAAGGCATTCCAGCATCACTGCCTGCCCCAAGGAAAGCAGAAACACAGTGGGGCTGGGACCTAGAAGGTGGTGAGGGAGGTGGCGTTCTCTGACTCCGAGAGACTGCTCTTGCGCCAGCTTGGGAAGAATTGGCAAAGGGAGGCAGGGCCGGTACAGCCCAGCTTGGTCAGAAGCCGTGATAGGTCACTGCGGAACTTCACGCCCGCAAAAGTGTAGAGCATGGGATTGAGGCAGCAGTGGGCCAGGCCCAGGAACTCACTCACAGTGATGGCCACGGAGAGATAGCCGTTCAGCTCACAGCTATTGCCCACAGCCTTCAGTCTTGCCAGGGTGTCCAGGAAGATGACAACATGATAGGGTGACCAGCAGAGGAAGAAGACACTTGTCACCAGGATGGCCACCCTGACCGCCTTCTGCCGCTGAGGGCGCCGCTGGGCTTGGCACAGCCTGTGCACCACCCCTACGTAACACCAGCCCATCACCAGCATAGGCAGCAGGAATCCTCCAACATGGTAGAGAAAGCGGGAGGTGAACCAGGCATTGGTTTCAGCCTGGTTCTCCTGGGAGAAGGTGCAGCGTGGCAGAGAGTCATTGTGGTGGGGTTGACTGACCTTGGCGAAGAGGATCTCTGGCAAGGCGAAGAACAAGCCCGCCAGCCAGATGGTCGCACAGGTTATATGGATGGAGAGCAGGCGGCGGTGGCGGTAGGCGTGGACGGCGTGGACGATGGCCAAGTAGCGGTCCACAGCGATGCAGGCCAGGAGCAGGCTGCTGCAGTAGAAGTTGATCTTGTGCAGAGAGATCACGGTTTTGCAGAGGAAGGTGCCCAGGACCCAGCCCACGGAGCCCTCGGCCACAGCGAAGGGCAGGATGAAGACCAGCAGGAGGTCAGCCACCGCCAAGTGGAACAGGAAGGTCTCGGTGGAGCTGCGCGTTTGCCGATGCCGCTCCAGGATCACCAGCACCAGGATGTTGCCCATCATTCCCAGGAGGAAGATGAGGCCGTAGGCCACGGGCATGAACACAGCCTTGAAGGAGGTCAGGAGGGGCCCCTCGACCGTGGAGCAGAGGTGGTTTTCCACTACAGGGGTCTCCGTACTGTCATTGTAGTTGCCCAGTTCCTTGTACTGCAAGGGTGAGGAGACAAGAGTGGGGGGGACTGAGAACCCATCTTTCC